GTTTAGCACGTCCTGCCGAGGGTTCCAGCTCCGCACACACAGGCCTTATCTTTCCTGCCCGACAGTAACGGCCTCTCATGGTGGTGCTTCATCACCTCCGGGCAGGTGACCCTGTGGACATTTCCCAGCTCTGACACTCACTGCCCTGCCCTCTGGGGACGTCCCCCTAGCCTCTGCCATGACCTTTCTGGTCCCCACCCCCAGGGCTGCTCAGAGCCTCACCCGAAGTGAAGCGGCGCTCCTTTTTGCAGTAGAAGTCTTGGTAGGAGGACATGACGATGGGGACAATGGGAACCTGGGGAAGGGAAAAGCCATCAGCCCGGACTCCTTTCTGAGGCCCCGGTGGTGCTCCACCAGAGAGGAGGGGGCGGGGCTTGGGCTCAGCAGCAGAAGGGGAGGCGACATCACCTGGGCCTGCACTGCCAGGTGGAAGGCGCCGCGTTTGAAGGGCAGCATGGAGCCATTGTGGTTTCTGGTGCCCTCAGGAAAAACCCAGACCCGCACCTGCCGAAGAAGACACATGCGTGGAGGGTTGCAGAACGGTTGTGGCCCCTTGACCCTACCCATCCGTTTCTTTACAACTGCTCTACTCCATACGCACCACCCCCTCGTCCCCAGGGTGACTCACGTCCTGGGAGAGCAGGGTCTGGGCGACCTCAGACATGACACTGATGGCATCCCCAGTGCGCTTCCGGTCGATGAAGATGACTCCAGCCAGCCAGCAGGCCAGCCCGGCAGAGCCAGCCCAAAGCAGCTCCCGCTTGGCGATGGGCACACATCGGCCGGGCAGTACCTCCATCATCCCTGGGGCAGGTGAGGGTGGGGTGAGCATCAGGGCGGAGGTGGCCCACTTCACCCATGTCATCACTACGCTAAGGCCTGGATATAAAGGGGGGCAGGGCCAGGGAAGACCCAAGTAGAGGGAAGGGTGACTAAAGGCCTACCACCCCGCTTTTGAGGGAAAGACAGCCACGTCCCAGCTGAGGGGCAGGTGAACACCTCCGGGAGAAGATTCTGGGGAAGGTTCCAAGAGGAAGGGCATGGCTGGGGGAGGTGTGTTCTAGGAGGTCTCACCAAGCAGGTCGAGGGAGCTCTGGTGGTTGGAGACCACGACGTAGGGCTGTGAGGGAGGGAAGTGGTGAGCCCCGCGGACCTCCACGCGGATCCCGTACAGGTACTTGATGTGGAGCAGCATCAGACGCAAGATCCTATGGGTGTCACGGCAGGCGGTTCCAGGGGGAGCCACTGACGCCAGCCTGCCTGCCTCAGCTCCCCTCTTTCCCGCATCTTGGCAATCCTCCCCCTTCCTGTCCCTGGACTCTTTCAGTCTCTCCTACACACCCATGTCCTCCCCAAACACTGCTCCGACCCTTAGGTTCCCTCAGCACCAGCACCCCTTGGCCCTCACTTCATGTTCTCGACATTGCGTCCTCGCACGGCGCACACGGGGATGGCGAGCACAGCCAGGAAGAGGATCCAGCCGTTGTAGAAGGCCATCTTGAAGAAGTACTTGGCACTGGGGCTGCAGAACCACAGCGTGGGCAGCAGGAAGAGCAGCAGCAGGAAGAGCAACAGCAGCACT